ACGGAAAAGGTACGTGAAGATATTGACTCTCACTACTCACGTGAGATTCATTCACAATCTAACAAAACTTATGAATTTTTTCAATTCAAAATTAAAAAAGATCAACGTCCTTATGCTGCAAAACAATCCCTAAATCGTTACATTAAACGAGACAACTTGAAATTGTAGGAGATTTAAATCCTTATCGCTGCCGCACAAACAAAAAGACACTAATGCAAACGACCTCGTACTTTTAACCGGCAGTCTAGAAATTATCATAAAAGTTGTCGTTCACGGTAATTCGAGTTTACGAGCACGAGCGATAAAGCGGTTTAAAGCTAGAAAATTCACTGTTAACGCGGCGAAACACCGAAAATGGGTGTTTAATTTTTTATCGGGTACCGGCGATGATATTACGTTATACGGAGATCGGCTTTATGCAAAGAAAATTCAATAGCCGAAGAGTTTATGCGTGGCTACGCGACGCGGCCCCGCCGTGGCGCGGGAATATTAAAAACGGAGCTTTTTTATTGGGGAATTTTATGAACAGCAACGAGTACTGTTTTATCACCTGCACCCGCTGGAGAACCGTCCCCTCGATTCGAAATTTCCTTGAAAATGCGCATGAAATTGCGCCCCGAAAATCCTTCCGAGAATAAGAATGCGACATGCAGAGCATAAAGTGTCAAGCTGCTTTTGATATTATAACTCTGGAGTACGACTATAAGATTATGCAGAGTGTTAATTTAAAATCGAGCATTTAAATGTGGCGAATCACTTTTGCAACAAACCTGGTTAGAAGCATGGATTTGTTTCTTTTTGAATTATGTATAAAAGAAAAAAATCATTGCTCGATGGAAGCTACGAGAAGGTGGTGGGTCCTATCCAACGGGGAGGGAAAAGACGGGACAGAATATAATTGTATTCTGGCTTCTAAATATTACAAAGAAAGTGTCATTTACAAAGAGTAGATAATTAAAACTATTATAAAAATATGAATAAGACCATAAGGAGACTACGAGCGCTCGAAAACGGAATTAGAATCAAGGAAAGTAATAAAAACGCTTATTCCGGGACCACCAATAAGCTCATTTTCTCGACTACAATGACTTAATTGTTATAGTCCATAGTGCAATACAGAGGACATCGGGTTTTCCGAGTCTATCGGAGGGGAGCGGTCGACCGGGCGATGCACTTACCTGAATTGTCGGACGCACAGTGGGCCAGATCGAAGAATTACCTGTTCACAACAGTTTTAACGGTATTTCAAGATTTAAGGACAATAATATATAGGTCGTTGAATTCGTCTTGACGTCAGCTATAATATTATTAAGTAGAAGATATATAGTGACCATAAAAAAATCAGGGTGACCTTATTTTTTATTTAAAAGGAAATGTTTTTTTAATTTTTTATATTGGAATTTATAGAGCAGGAAGTGCTGACTAATCTTTGTTCCAAACATTTTTTTGTCAGAACATCGAAAATGCCTGAAAAATCGTGATGACATGTGGATAATGAATTATAATTGAAAATTAGCTGTTCAGGCTTTTCAAACAAATAGAGTAATCCATAATTCTTGAATCAATGAAGTTTATTACGTTTAATCAGAGAAGAAGAATATGTGATTTTTTCTTCAAAAAATTAAAAATATTCAAACAAGAGTAAGTGTTATATTTTAGTAAATTAGTGAATATAATAAATTAACCATACGGATTTTCGGTTTATAAAGAAAGAAAGCATTGTCATTTTTATTATTCAACACGAGGCGACTTGACCGCGACAAATTTTCGAGAATCTCCCAATGGCCAATGGTACGGTTTATGGCCGTATTGTCTGCTAGTCAGCGCACCCGGGTAAGGCCCAGCGCAGATGGGTCCCAACTGTCCCAAGTTTATATACCGTGCGCTCGTGACGGACTTCAGACCAAATGTTCGGGTCTTTTGTATATTGTTTGTGTTAGCGAAATCTAAATTGAAAGTGACCGACGTCGAAAAAGTCTGAAAATGAACTACAAACGAAGTAAAATAATAAAAGTTAACGGTATCATCTGATTCTATAACCGTCGTTCCTAGTCTACGACGGAACAGATAGTATTGCAAAAAAGATGTAAGGATGTTATAATAACATTTACACATTATAAATAAATAATAGACTTTTGCATGTATTTCATACATATACACACTAATGCACTTACAAACGAATTATAATTAAACAAAGTAAAGCACGTACCGTAACATTGTACACAATATATTGTAAAATACATAACATAATATGACGGAATGCAGTGTATTAATACATTCATCATTAAAACATAAACATAATATGACGGAATGCAATGTATTAATGCATTCATCATTAAAACATAAACATAATAAAATTATTTTAATTAAAGTATATTCCAAGGATAATATAAGAAGCAAAGATATGAAATTAAATATGACTAAATATGGTATAGAAATATGTGTAAGTAAAATTCATTAAATAATATAATGCTATCTAACATTAAGACATAAACTTAATGGAATCATTTTAAACAGTAAATACAACATGACCAATTCAATACATATTTGATAAAAATTGTAGCGTATAATCGGTATAATATGTCATCACGATCATCGATCATCGACCTACGTGATCGACGAGGTATAAGAGGCCACAGCAGAGCTCGCCATGTGGTCGAAGCAGAGAGATATTCTTTTCTATATAAATTTACTTTACTTTGTATTATTCTTTTCTTAAATATATGTATATTCTGTGTATCATTAACAAATGGTGTTGTCGATATTAATTACGGACCCACAGAAATGAATTAGAAATCGATAAGTCGCTTATTGATCTACTAGTTTTTTTCTCGCGGTTTCACTAGCATAGATTTCGGAATTTGGTAAAATTATTTTTTTAACATAATTTTTAAATCGAATTATAATTAAAGTGTGTAGGACTTCTTTTATGCACATATAAAGATTGAACATTATTCACACGTCCTGAGATCCATGGTACAATATTCTGACTAGGTGGCTGATTAAGTGGGTGAAGAAATAGCAATGACGAAGGAAAACGCTAAGGCAAGTGATATTTGTAGTACAACTGTACATGGATAAGTATTAACCCTTTCGCTCCGACGCACTTATCACAAAATACGCTCGTTGTAAATAAAACGTGTCGCTGACGACTTGACACTGACATACGGATGTCTTATGTACAAAGCCAAAAAAAAAATGTAATATAGTACACATAGTACGGACAGTACCTATACATTCTTCGTGAGTGAGCGTCCACTTCTTGAGGGTATATACATATATACGTTTTTTGGAGCGAAAAGTTTGAATGACATTTTAATGATGACGTGACAGTTCGTTAGTAGCAATGTCGAGATGAAAAATTATACGCTTGAAAAAGAAAAGTTTATTGGTCGTCATATCAAGTACTTCATTACCTAACACGTTATTGATAATAATATATCACGAGTGGAACATGTCGAAGAGAGAGTGACTATGCTCTTACACACATAATGCTGCAAATATGCTTGCAATTGAAACAGTGGTGAACTACATTCTGTTTCGTTCACACATTAAACCTAGCCGTTACAAATATTATTCCCCAAAATGTCGCCACATGTTCAAACATTATAAAAGAAGTTGTTCAGCGAAAGATAAATTACTGAAGATGCACAAATTGATCATCAAAAAACAAAAATTAATTCACGAAGCAGACATTCGTTGGATTCGTACTATGTTTCGCAGGTCACTACAGTAAAAGCAAGTACTGCATACAGCATTGCAATACTTAGGAATCTTTTAAACCTTTAACACCTGTTAGGATGATGATCGCAAAATGTTTACCAGTACGGAACCTAGCCTTTTATTAACTTTTGAGCTAACCCTGTAACGGTGAACAGCGACTAAAGGCGTGCTACGTCAAGTGCTCGCTTGGAGGTCTCATTTCTTGTATAAATTATTTCTTCATATATGTAAATTACTGTTTCATAAATATAAGTAGAAAATAATTCAGAAAAATACAATTTGTGTAATTTACTCATATTAATTAGAAGAAATCGCGCATTTTGGCAGTTTCTGTCAGGAGTGTCAGGTGTCACCATTGCATCGCTGCACAAGCCTGCACGATAGGCGACAGGCACGTTTTGTTTTGGAGCGCTCCACAGTTAAAGGGTTAAGTTCGGAGAAACATGCAACAATTTCGAGAAGTACAGTTTGTACACAACAATGTACAGAATTTAAATCAACTGCATATAGGGACATTTCACACGAAATTGGATATTTTGGAGTATCAAATTTTTAAATAGTGCCCCACTATTATAACATGGTATTTCCTCAAAACAATTCCAAAATAAATGGTTAAAAAATATTTTATTAACTGAAATAATTTTTACTAGGTACTCTTATGTCTCCACTGTAAGCACCTACAAAGCTCATTTTAATCAGTTTGTTAATTCGATAGGTATGATCTATTCAAAATACATTGACACTATGTTTGAAACAGATGTAAAATCAACAATTTTAAAGTTTTAAAAATCCTGCGACATACATATGTATATCATTAAAAACTACAACATATTCAAGTGTCAACAAAATCCGAAATGTTACTCCAAAAAGTGTCCGATTTCGCGTGGAATGACCCTATATTAGTAACATCAACAGTATATTACCCATGAAATTAAAAAGAAAGAGACACAATACTTGAATTCCATTGTAATAATTCTACTTATACACGATAGGATTCATGGCCACCAAAGTGTAATACATAAAGGAAAAAAAGAAGAAAAGAAAAAAGGAAAAAAGAAGAAAGAAAGAAGATATATAAAAAAAGACAAAGAAAAAAGTAATCCTCTGTAGTATTGAAATAATAACATCAGGTAATATCGTCACCTTTCAAAATTAGCAGCAAAAGTTGTGCATTGCTTTCATCCGTGCGACGCACTTCCAAAGAGAATTTTCTGCGGTAAAAAATATTGCTAATATGACTCCACTTACAGACTATTTAAAAATAACATTTTATTTACCGTAGAGTCTTTCAATCTATTTCTTTTTTTGGACACAATATTTCCCGCTTTGGAAAATATTCTTTCGGAAGGTACTGATGTCGCAGGACAACACAGCAATTTTTGTGCTAATTTTGAAAGTTTCGGATACCTAATAGCATTAATTTTCCAATACTCCACAGGATCACTTTCTAAAACTTCAATCCGTTCCTTTAAATAATTGTCGAGTTCAGCCACTTCGCTCAACTCATCTGTATTACAACAATTGTGTGCACTGACCATAGTTTTGAAGTCACTCCAAAAACTTGAGATGCTTTCATCATCGGTGCTAAGTGAATTGTTGTCACTTTCTGTGGGAACTGTAATGATACCAATAATCAATTTTTTTAGAATTTCTACAGTTTCAGTGGGCATGAATCCTAATTGTTTAAATCGTGGATCCAACATGGAACACATGCAATAAATAGAATTATTTACAATGTCATGAAAATATTTGTCCATCATTTCTCGTAATTTCGAGGCTAATACATGCTCGTGTACATTTAAACATCTGTACATTTGTTGTACGCCCGGGAATACTTTCGAAATTGAAACATGTGCTTCCGAACTTAATTCTGCAGTGAATAAAGCGAAGGGTCCCAGTACTGATAAACAACTAGCCATCATATCCCAATCACTTGTTGTTAAACGTTCAATAGATACAGTAGACATCGCTGCTGATACAGCACGTTGTTGCTCTATTAATCTGCTAAACATTTCGTACGTTGAATTCCAACGAGTTTCGTCTTCTAAAATTAATTTGTGGTTTTCTATACCAAATCTATTTTGAATCTCAGTTAATTTCTCTGTTGCTAAACAGCTCGATTTAAAATATGATACAATGTTGCGACATTTTTGACGAATAGTAACAAGTTCTGCAATGGCATTCAACGATTTTTTGACTACTAAATTTAATGTTTGAGCGAAGCATGGAATGCTTGTAACACCACTGCCCAAACTTCTAACTGCAGAAAGCATACTTGGAGTATTATCAGTCACAACACATCTCACTTTACTCTCTATGCCCCAATCGTGAAATATTCTATTCAATAAACTTGATAGGTAAATACCCGTATGACTTCCAGTCACCTTTTCCGTTTCAAGCGTACACGATTTTAAAACGAATTCATTACTAATAAAATGGCACGTAACCGTTAAGAAACCATCAGTATTATTACTTGTCCACATGTCCGCAGTAATACAAATATCACTGACTTCGTTTAATTCGGCCTTTACTTGCCGTTTCTTATCAATGTATCTTTCGTCCACCCACTTCTTCAGTGTCTTCCTTGTCGGGAGATTATACTGCGGATTCAATTTTCTTAATAATTTTCGAAAACCTTTATCTTCAACGACGTTGAGCGGTTGCAAATCCTCTACAACGAAATCTACAAGTGCTTCGTCCAACACTTTTCTAATGTCGTCGGTACCTGAAAACAAACGATTAGATTAATTCATATTAAAATTAATGCTTTCATTGAAATTAAATCATAATAATAAATGGGAATATATTCTGTTCTTACTAGCACATGGAATCGGTTCAAATTCCGACGCCGCTGATGCAGACCTCGGGGGAACAGCAACAACCCGTTCAATACGATGTGCCCTCGCCAAATGTCTGATCAGCGACGTCGTTGTATTTGTTGCGAACACTTTTTTGCATGCGTTACATTCAGCACGACTTGGCGTATGATCGTTAGAATTAATGAGGGTATAGTACTCCCACGTCCAAGAACGTCTTCCTGCCATCTAAAAAATTATAATTGGAAATTATGCACCATAATATTTTCACACATATTATTTCCTTGATTTCACACATGTATTTATAATACTCTACTCACTTTAATAATACGAATGTGTGGTAGCAGTATTTGTCAGAAAAGTGCACACCGCACGCAGCACGGTTCAAACGCTATAACATTGAAAAAAATAACGAATGATTAACACAATAATAGTAATAAAAATACGAACTGCGATCAGAAAAGCGTAAGGGAACCTGTTGTACCTTGGGTACATTCTTTGTTTTCATTTTTCTTTAAAAAATCCTAAATAATTTACGGAGTTTATAGATTGTATATAGTTTAGTGATTAATAAGACACATAACTTAATTTTTGTAGAATAATTCCATTATATTTTATTTGAATTATAAATGATTACAGAAAAAACGGTAATCATGTCCATGGTTCAACATCCCCTATGTAGCTCGGACCTAGTATTTGTTTTTGTTAATTATGTATGAATATACATTTTTTGCTTTACAATACTACTTATAATATGCGATCTATCAGGGTTATTTAAATCTCTATTCTTATAATAATTTTAATATCTTTTTAATCAGTCTTACGGTATATCTAATATTTCTATGTTTTCTAGTCTTTACAACTTTTTTATTCTATTTTTATTACAGGGCACCTTAATAATTGATTTAACTGTTTAGAAAAAAAAGAAATAAAATATCAGAAAAGAAAACAAAAACCTGTCCAAGATACAATACGATTTTTAGGCCCAAGGATAAACACTATACAAAAATTACAAAAACAACTTCGTGTCATTTAAACATTAGCGATTAAACCCTTCTGTCTATAGCAAGCTGTGGCTAAATAAGGTACGAAACTATATTAAAATAACTGGTTGTAACTTTATGAACAGAAATAAAGTTATTTACAAGTTTCGACGAAAAAAGAATTACTTTGTATGTGAAAAATTCTTCAAATCGTCGTAACTCACAACGCGAGCGCTTACAAACTAACGTTTGTAGGCCTTCTCGCAGATTATGTATAAACTAGTATTGCCAATTTTGAAATAAAATTCCACGAACATTTAAAATTGGATATAAGACCGTGGTACAACCATGTCCGAGGTACAACAGGGTCCCCAAAATATTATTTACATTCTACATTACTTCAATCTATACCCGGCTAGCACATGACGCCTTGAAGACGGCTTAAAGGCGCCTCAGACCTAAAATAGCCGTAAAATAGGCGTCTTCAAAGCATTACGTGCTATTTGAGTAATAAGGAATGTTAAAGTATAATTGAAATTTCACTTACATTTACTTCTGATGAAGTTTCTTGTACGCAATAATGTAATAGCGCGCGACGTATATACTCTGGAACTCACTCACTGGTTGTTATCGTTATTGAAGTGATTAGAAATGGTTTGTTAGCACCGTTTCAGTCATTTCTCTTCTCGTTTACCCCCTCTACTGGTTATCCCTTTTTCAGGAAGAGTAGCAGTAGGATGGGTAAATATATCGAGCTGCTTGAACGTGCTTCGGTCGGAGACGGACTGCACTGAACTGCTGAGCCGGCTCGAGCAGCGGTAGTCGGTGGTGACCTAGCGACGACTCGAGTAACAGTGGCGCCTCGAGCAGAAACGGCTCTAAATGTAGAGCTGAAAGGAATCCACCCAGCTCTACGAGCATTGCATCCACGGCAGGAACTCCGGGCTTCGGCGAGTCGAGATGTTATCTGATACCCCTACAAGCCTCTGGTCGATCGACCGCTCGGGCGCTCGGGTTTCAGTATACACCAGAGGCGTCCAACTCGAGCCAGAGTGAGCCGGCGGTTGGGGAGGTAGAAGCCGCTTAAAGGGGAGCTGCGCCTGTGTGAGCGGCGGTCTGGGTAGGGCTAATCCGTGAGTACAGAGGCCTCAGGTTCTTAAAGCGACGTTTACACCAGGTAACTTTTAGTAGGCCGACCGAATCGATCGACTTGAAGTCATGCGACTAAAAGGTTTACATTATACTTTTTTATTGGTTGAAATGGTTAATAATGTACTGCGTAAAAAGGTTGTACACGTAACGTCAGCAATTGCAATGAATTTGCTAGGCAAGTTGATAAAAATCATTAGTCGGATAGTTAATAGAAAGAAACGTCATTGGTGGGTTAAAGTAAGTTAATAATCGGCAGTAAATTGCCCGTATGGACTTAATTTTATCTTTCACATTAACAACCGTTAATTCTTCTAAATCCATTTCTTTTACTATTAATTCCATTGCGATTTTTTAAAATGTAAATCCTTGTATGTATCGTTTATACTGTTCTATAGACATTCCTGTTGTTGATAAAGGTCTATAAATGTATTTATATTCTGTGAATTTCAATCTAATTTAGACATTTTCCTCCGTCTCAGAGCGATGTCATGAAACTATGAACGTTTTTGCACGGTCAACTACAATTGAAACCATCAGGTTTTTCAATCAAAAGTAGACCAACAGTCAACTTTTAGTTGAACGACTAAAAATTCCTTCGACTTGGTTGAAATCCTGTTTACACAGGCGATTTTGAACGATTGCAAATCGATCGACTCGGTCGGCCAACCAAAAGTTGCCGAGTGTAAACGCCGCTTTATGGATACCAAGCACGCACACCACTGCAGTCGTCCCCATCCGCAATATCGGTGTTCCGATCTCAGCGGCGATAACACTACGGCTCATTCTGGCTCGAGTTGGCCGTCTCTAGTGGAAACACAGAATGAATCACGCATGAATACAAATTTAAACTTTTCCTCTTTTCAATGGATCTTTTCAAAAATGTTATGAATACATTGAAGAGATTCTTTTTTCTTGATGAAAATAAGTCCAAACACGAAATAATTTAAAGTATTTTCAATATTACATACGTAGTTTGAATTGCAAAAGATTGAAAGATACAAAACATTATCAACGAATTATTCTGGATATTTTATTTAACTGTGGTTAAATTAAAAAACAGCATTACATAATTACATAAATAAATAATTACGTATATATTCATGTGTAAGATGCTTGCAGTCACTTTTCACAAGAAATCAATAGCATTGACAGATTCAAACATCTAATACTATATCTGCATAGTAAAGCAATACGCGAATGGCACCAAGTTCAATACTTCAAAGCAGTTTTTCATTATCCAATGCTTGCAAATTACATATAATACTGCAAGAATACTAAGAATCTTTATGCAAATTATAAGATAAATAAAATAAACTCACCTTTTCCTTAATGTTGTGAGTCAAACTACATATATGTATAATACTGAAAATACTCCAAATTATGTCGTGTATGGACTTATTTTCATTACGAAAAAAAGAATCTCAATGTATTCATACGATTTTTCAAAAATTCCACTGAAAAAATAAAAGTTTAAATTTTTATTTATGCGTGATTCATTCTGTGCGTTTACACTGTAACCCGAGCGTTGGTCGACGGAGGCTCGTAGTTTGTAGGAGACCAGATAATATTTCCCCTCGCCGAGCTACGGAGTTCCTGCCGTGGATTCAGTGCTCGTAGAGCAGGCCTGTCCCCCTGTTTCTATTCAGCAAAGAACGACGCAGGCAGACATATACAGCTGGGTGGATTCCTTTCCGCTCTATAGAACCGTTTCTGCTCGACTCGCCACCGCTGCTCTAACCGGCTTGAGCAGTTCGGTGTTCTCAATTTCCGGGTCGACCGCGCCCAAGCGGTTCGATTATACAGGGTGTAAAAAAAGTATTGTAGGTTCCTAAAATGGATCACTCGTGTATCGTATCTCGTTAACAAAGCCTCGGGTAACATATTTGCTAAGGAAAATGTTGTTCCAAATCACCTTACGAGTGATCTATTTCAGAGACTTACAACACTTTTGCTAAACCTTGTATATACCATTCGGTTATTCATCACTATCTATAACGCGATGTAGAAGAAGGGATAGACTACTTAAATTCACCGGAATTTTTATGATAGTTGCATCCCAGTAACAATTTACCTATTAGACAAATTGTATAAGAAATAACGTGACCATAAACAAAACGTGCATGAAATTATACATTCTCTACTTCAAACGAGGGTACGCCCCAAGCACATGACGCTTTGAAGACGTTCATTTTACGGCTATTTTAGATATCAGGCGCCTTTAACCCCTTAACCTACAACTACGGGCATAGACCGTAGTAGATGATCGGACCAAACGTAAATATTACGGGCATAGCCCGTAGTAGATGATCGGGCCAAAAGTGAATATTACGGGCATAGCCCGTAATACGATAATCGGGCCAAATATAAATATTAGCGGCGGCGCCCTCCTAAAGTTATAAATATTTGTGGAATATGTGATAAGTAAATCGTAGGTTAAGGGGTTAAGCCGTCATTAAGCCCTCTTAAGCCGCCTGTGTTATCTGAGGCAGGTTACAAGTAAATAATAACCGACGATCATTGAAATATACCAAAAATTTATTTACATAAAAACATGAATATAATACCTATAATATTTCAACTGTTGCGCTTTTTTGTTTTTCCCACTTGGTGTCATACTCAAACAATTGGCGTCGAGACAAGTTCTCCAAGAAAATCATAATCGGTATTGTCGCAATTTCCTTCAACGTCGCAATAGTCGAATAAAAGAAATAACCATTGAACGTATATATCTAACGCTAAACTATACTTAAAAAAAAGGAGTAATCGATAAGATTGCAAACACAGTACCCAAACTGTTCGTTCATTCATCGGCTGACCGGAAACAATCAAATGAAACGCAGTTGGAGCCCCGTTCGCAAGACTGGATTCTCTTTTTTCTCGCTAGCTTTCCGCGCTCCCCAAACTTTCTCGCCTAGCGTATACATCGACTGTGCGTACCAACAAAAAAAAAAAACACGAAAGTTTCATCTCCTTTCATCATAAATACAAATGCATTTTATACTATTTAAAACAGTCGCGGACGCCTCCCACTCTCCCCGATGATAATTTCCATCTTTGCACTACCGTTTCGTTACAATATTTACAAAAAACGTACGTACAACATAGGGTGTTTATTCGATTGGCGAACGTAAAAGAAGGGTATGTACGATGCGCTCACGGATGAACATAAATTTCCGAGGGGACGATCGAATATTCAGATAGAATCGCCTTCTGTCCCTTATGTTCTCGTTGTCCGTAACGATCATCAACAATTTTCGGTCGCTACCAATAGGTATCCCCTGATTGCACTCGACCCTTCTCGCCGAGGGAATTTCGCTAATCCGGTCGATAAATCATCGTACGATTTTCACAAAGATCCGCCGTGGAGTTTTTT